TATTATTCAGGGTAAAACACTATAAAGTGGAATTTTTTCAATATGGGTCTCTAAATTTCCTTTAGAAAATTAAAGCAAATGACATTACACATTCCCATTGTGGTAAAGTGCAATATGTAATGTTTAAATCTTTGCCATTTTATGGATAAAATTATATTTTAAATTTTAATTTAACTATCTTTGATTATTTATCATATGAATATGTTCATGTTTATTGACATTACTTTTTTGTTTGAATAAAAAACAAAAGCCTGTGATTTGAAATCCTAAAAACTATAAATTATGCAGTTCTACATGGACTCTTCCAATTGTTTACTAGTTTTTCTGATTTTAAATTTTTTCTTAGTGCACATGGGTCAAGTCTTCTTTTTATGAATTCCTTTTCCATTATAAATCAAGTAGCCATTTCCATCCACCTTTAAATCTTCAACATTTGTATTTTTGCTTAAAAATAAAACCACAGATGAAGTTTCATTTCTCATTTACTACTTCTCTACCTGAGTTGTCAGTTTTGTTTTTGCTCTTAACTGAGGTTAAGTGAGAGGGCATCTTATCAAATCACTGTATCAACAAGGTTTGTGTAGATTTATATACTTTGCTTTGCACATCATTTTAGTTTGTCATTTGAAAATAAACTTAAAATCTATTCAAGATGTATCATTATGTTTACAACAATCTGAAGCCTAAGAATCTGAAGGACAATGAGAACATTTTCATTTGGAGATGCCACTATGAACACTTCTTTGCAGAACTATAGCAGCATTTTAAAAATAACCATACTGGAATGTCAGTTACATGAAATGACTTCTCTGGAGTCTAAGTGTAGGCTTTTCTGTAAATATTTGAGAAGACCAAAGAAAGTTATTTGATTTGTAGTTTTCCTTTTATTAGTATACGTTTGCAGTACATAATGATTATATTCATTGTAAGGAGTTGGTACATGTACATAACCCATCTTAATTATTTTTACTTCCTCTGCCTTTCCCCTTCCTCCATCCCTTTGGTCTTTTTATATATTTGCTTTTTCTTCAATACCAGAATTTTATTCTTTGATTAAAAATAACTTTGTAGATTGTACACACTAGGAAGAAATAATTTCTACTTCTATCTTTTTAAATCTTAGAGTCTAAAAAGTATCAGATAGATGATGGATAAATAATAGATAAAACACTGTGGAGCAGACCATTTGTTTAACACTTTAATCAATGTGTGTGTGTTTTTGTAGATGTTGGTATATTTTATATCTGCCATTTTATTTTGTTTTCTATATTTTTCTTTGTTTTTATTCTCCTTTCTTATATTCTGTATCAGCCAGATGGATATAAAATAACCATACTAAACTGAAATACTTTAGCCTGAATATTAGTAACAAAGACTACTACTACTGTTCTTTTCCCCTGAACATTAATGTGTAAATTATAGTGAAATTGCTTACTCCTGGAATTGATAAAAACAAAGAATGTTGACATAAGAAAAGAACTTCAAATAATAAAACAATAACAGGCATTTGCAGGGCAAAATCCAGTCTACACCAACTTTGGTGGAAGGTAAAAGAGAACTAGTACTAGCCAGTATCTGCAAACATTTTGGTAGTTAGAATTACCCAGGATTCCTCTTTCTGTAACGAGGCTGGAGTCATCTTCATTGTGTGCTACAGCAGTTACCTGGACTTAGAAATTAATTTGTAATTTATTTTAGTGCTGCTTTACTTTTGTGAATGAGCTCTATGGGGAAGTAGAGGCCTACTCTTTTCTGGGGCATCCATACTCAACAAGTCATTTCTCACTTCTGAGCTGGCTAAAGAGAATAGTGATTTGAGGGGTTAAGATGAATCATAGAGGAAGAGTTCTTCCACTCAATTTACCATCATGCTGTGCATTTATGTATCTTTTTAAAAATTAACTTGTAAGCCCTAGAAATAGATCACTGTCTGTCACGCACATAGCTTCCCTTTAAAAAGTTATTACAACTTCTGTTCACCACAGAAGGATATTTTGACTTTGAGTGGACAAATGAAGCAATGCCCAAGGAATATCAGGTTAGTTTTAATCTTTCAATGTGGTCCAAGTGGAACAAATCTGTATTTTTGACTACATATAATTTTTATTTTGATAATTTTTATTTTTAAATTAATTATAAATTATCAGAAGACATTTTACTCAGGGCTGACTGGAGAGTTTTTCTGGAGTAAATCAAAGAAAAACTACTATAGAAATATTTTGGAGATTACTATCCTTTTATATTTGTTATTAACATCCTACAGTAGCTTCAGACTGCCTAAGCAAATGAAAAATAATGTTACTCTGTAGTGATTTTCTTATAAATTTACTCTGGATTATTAAATTTTAATTTGTTTTTCCAACTTTGGATAAAACCTGTAGGCATGATTACGTAGATTAATTTTCTGAAAATCCTCCTTAATGCACATTAATTTTTCTATACTGACATTAATGTACCACAAACTGGCCTTCAGAGCACTTTGAGATATAAATCTTGAAAAGTTATAAATACTAAATGTTTATGTTTCTACATACATCTCTATCTACATGTGTGTAAATTGAACTTGTTCATATTAACATGCTGAAATATGGTTTTAAAATATTTCAAATACACGATTAAAATTTTATGATAAACTATGTAATGCTACTATAAATTACATTTCATAACAGAGGAATTTATATGTGATACAATAACATCGGTTTAGTTGTTTTGAACTTTTTTCTATGTTATTGATAAAATTGAATCTATTTTTCCTTCTGTAATGAGCACATTATAAATATAAAATACACCAAGATTTTCTTTATGTTTACAATTATTATATCTATTTAATTATTAAAAAGTTCAACAATAAAGTTTAATTTGGTGCAATCTTGAATATTCTTGGCAAACGTTAAATACATAAAATTGAAGTAAGACAGATTCTCTATATTTCTTACATTTAGGTGATTGGCATTCCAGATTGTGAATTTTTAAGTAGCAGTTGAAAATAAAAAATAGAAATACAGCCACATTTTAATAGCAAATTTTTACTCAATATTTGAAAATATCTTCTATTTTTCTTAGTCTTATATCAACATTGATAATTCCATAGACATAGATATTATAAGTTATATTGAGATATGAAAGATTAAAGTGACTTTGTTAATGACTTAACATTAAAGATGAAGCTAAACAAAAATTCCAGCTCTTTTGATTTTCTAATGCACACCCTGGCTGATTAATTCAGCTATATTTTTTTAAAAAGTTATATTTCTCAAAGGCAATAACTTTCAGGATTAGTAATAGTGATTTTGCTGATTTATTTTTTTAAAATGTGTGCCTTTTGCCTCTTGTGTTTTGTTTTGATTTAATCTTTGCAGGTCTACTTAATTATTTTGAAATTTGGTTTTAGGTTTTCCTAGAAGCTTCATTTGTTATGACTTATATAGTGGTATAACCATGAACTTTTAAAAAGACTGTTGGAATAGTGGTATTAACATTAATATGGTATTAGAAATTAATATGTAAAATGACATTTATATAAGGAAATATTTTACTTAATAAAAGTTGAAGAGAAATGAAAAAATTAACTGATTTATAAAACCAAGAACAATTTCAACTTTAAGCAGTTACAACATAAGATGTATTTGACATTTCTCTTGATTCAAAAAATCCACAGCTTAAAATTAAACCATCTAGTCTCTGAAAAGATTCTAATTTTTTTTCTTATTTCTGAATATAATGTTTAGAAATATTGTTATTCATTTGGGTCAACAGAGGAAATGAAAATATAGTGCAATTTTTCTTAAATCAAAATAGTTTACAATAATATGTTTGCTACTACAAAGTCTTTGGTGGATACCACTAATTACATGTTTTTCATTTAAAGCCTTTAAAATAATATAGATACAAATTAAATATAGACATAAACTGACTCAATAAATATTTTATTTTATTAAGTAATTCAAGAGGCCTATGGGTTTAGAAAAATGTTTATAGCAAACTAGTAACATTTGTTGCAGATTTTTCACTTAGGCTAAATACAGAGGATTCTGTCCCCCTATATTACTAATTCTCAAGTGGAAATTACACAAGCAAGTGATGATATAGGGAATTGTAGCAAAATATTTTAATTAAAATACCAAATAATTATCTGTGCGAGACTAGATCTAAGCATTTGTCAAGCTGCAATTATATTAGTAACAACCTTTTCATTTGATAGCCATATAACAGGGTAATTAAAAACTTACAATTAAGCAAAGTAAAACCTTAACTTATGATGACAATAAAAACAAAGGATATATAGTAAAACCCCATTAAAAGTAATTATTATAGGATTATTACTGAATATATCATCTCTACAAATATATCTAATAAGGCAAATAAAGGTCAAACCTTGCAGTATGCTTACTTGTTAAAATACTCTAGAAGACAGATGATAAAGTAAGTCCCAAATCATAGACAAAATACAAAATGTTTTTTTCCTCATGGGCCCTTTTGCTGGTCCAAAGTTATTGTGAATAGGCATATGTTAAAAGACAATGTTGGAAGGTGATGGAGAATCACTACCCAAAGCTTTAAAGATTGAGACCTACATTATTTCTGCATTTCACAAGATCAAAACGGTTAAAAGTAATGCAATTTGGAGCCAAATGTGAAAGGTGGCATGAAGGAAGGTATTAAGGTTCTTGAGAGGAAGGGCCTCACGGTGCATTGATGGTCATGAAGCAAGCAACCGATCCAAGCAGTAGCCTTTATCTAAGATGTAAAGGACAGATAAAACTTGTATTTTTGCTTGGTTGACTTTGTTGTCAAGGGTCAAATAAGGCCACTCAACTGAAAATACACTTGGCCTAATTGTATCACAGCATCGGGACTTTCCAGTGCTCCTTTTAAAAATTAACTCTTTCTTGGATTTATTAAGCAATATGAATCTTATTAATACTTTTCTTCTTTCTTTGTTGCTGACAAGAATTAAGTCTCTAAGAGCACCAACAGAGCTTGCGAGGTCATAGCACATTTTAGAGTGACACAGACCTCTTTCTTCTTCTAACAAAATCCTCAGCTTGGATGAAGTTGGAAAGAGCCTTAGTGAGGTGACTATCTGATGTCTCAGTGCTGCTCCCGAAGTCATAGTTCTTCAAGCAAGGGCACAAACAGTGCACAATGGCCCTGCGGATATAGCTGTCAAAGGTATAGTAAATCAGAGGGTTGACACAGCTGTTGGCAAATGCCAAGGGCCCACTCACCTCGATACCAAACTGAAGAGTATTTGATGAAGAGTGGTGTTCATGCTGCAGCCTAGAAACAATGGCTAGGAGCTTGAAAGTATTAAAGGGCAGCCAGGAGAAGACAAACGCTGCTACAACAATAAAGATGATCTTCATGGATTTCCTCAGTTTCTTGTTGTGCTTTCCTGATTGCTGGTAGTGAGCACACAGTTTTCTTGTGATGCAACTGTAGAAGGTCACAATGCTTAGCAAGGGGACAAAAAAGGTGAAAATTAAGGTGACCAGACCCCATGTCAGTTTCACTGAAGTGGCTTTCTTCTCTGCACAGTATGGCTTATTTTCAATCAGCTTGAGCTCCCTGGACAGAAGAGTAGGCAACCCTAGGAGGCAGGAGATAAGCCAGATGCTGGCACAGACTCCGTATGCACAGTCTCTCCTTCTGAATTTCCTGGATACAGCTGGACACATGATGGCCAGGTAGCGGTCAACACTCATGCAAGTGAGCAAGAAGACACTGCTGTACATGTTGACTGAGATCACGTAAGAGCTGCCTTTGCACAGAAAAGAGCCTGTTCTCCACAGTCCTAGAGATGCTTCTTTATCTACCCAGAGAGGCAATGTGACAAGAAAAATGAAGTCAGAGGCAGCCAGGTTGATGATAAAGATGTCAATTAGTCTTCTGCTGCCACGTTTGAAATTCAGGGCACCAATAAGGATGAGGTTGCCCAACACTCCAGTCAGGAACACAACTGTGTAAAAGATGGAAAGAAACACAGATGTGTAAGGAATTGGGGAGTGAGTCTCCTTGATATCAGAGTTCGAGCTGGTAGCATAGTAATAATCCAAATAAACTGAGGTTGTTTCTGGATCCATCTCTGAAGATCAGATGTCAAATCTGGTAAGTTTCTTTATCTGTGATATTTTGGTATGGATTTTAGAAATCTCAAGGGATTTTCTCTTATATAGTCTCTGTCCCTGTCTCTCTTCTTCTTTTAAAGATCTTGGACAAGCATGAAAACAGATTAAATAGGGCAGTTTCTACCAATCCTCAGAAACGGCACACCTTTGATTGGCGTTGGTTGGTTGTGGTTGTGGTTTTCTTTATTTGTACTTACCCATGAAACTGAGTTACTTTTCTATTCAAGATATATGAATTGTTTTTCTTAAATCCAGGAATTAAGAAATGAATTAACTTTTTTCTAACTTCCTATAAAGACCTTTGCTTTCTCTGACTGATCTTTATTTAGTTTTCTTGAACCATTTTAGTTTTAGAATTGAAAAACATGACAAAGATACTCTTATTTACACTATTGATGATATATAAAGAAAACTAATCTTTCATTGGATAGAAAGTGAATTAAAAGTTTTATGTCCTGCACCTATAGTAAGCCTCATGATTGCAATTAGGGCATGAGATTCTTTCCATTTATTTGCCTCTTTCCTAAATAATCAACACTGTATCATTCAATACTTTTTTAAATCCGCAAAAAGCTAAGATCATGTCTTTCATGCACTTTTACTATTTCAAATTTTCTATTAGTTATCATAGCACCATGCACACAGTTTGTGCCTTGGAAATGTAGGTTTATTAGGATTAATTCAGAAAATTATTGTTTTGTGATCCTGTATAGTTAGCGGAGATAAATTTGAGTCTTAATGCAGGCATTGATGTTATTTATAAAGCTTACAAACACATTTAAAAAGCAAAAGCTACTATTTTTATCTTTAGTTACTACTTTAATAAACCTACTAAAGTTCCCTTTTGTAAGAGTTAACATCCTTGATTGGAGATTTTCTGTATCGACCCTCAAATTACCCTTCATCAGATTACAGATTCTGATCCTGCTCTTTTTTACACTGCACCTTTATAGTTGTTGTTGGATAGTTCTAAGTCCTAGTTTTTTCATTAAGTACCTCTGCATATCAGCAAACTTTACTTTTGGAATTGTTGACAAGGCAATAGTTGTAAATATCCATAATAAGTGACATCATAATAAAGCTTGTTAGCATAGGCACTATAAAACAAAGTGGATTTTTGGTACAATCAAAACACTTGAGAAACAGAGGATTCTATCATGGGCTGTTTACATGAGTTTCCTTTTTTATTATAAAGATCACCTAAAATATAATGAGTTTGGAATTGTCTTTATTGATTTCAGTTGTTTACTGGCCAAAGTGACTCAGGGCTCTCTTGCACTCTTGTATCCTTTTCCTCTTCCCCATCTCATTTAATGTCCAACATTCCAGTCTCAAGTTGACATTAGAATTGCACAGAAGGATGCATGCTTGTAGATAATACTCTTGTTAAACATATAAAATCCATTCTGTATACTTTTTATTTCTTCAGTAATTGATGGTATATTGAAAAGAATGATCCTGCCTGTTGTATTCTTCTCTCCTTCCTGATGTGGTTGATATCAAATCCTCTGATGTGGAATAGCACTAAGAAATCACTTGGGAGTTGATGTACAAGCTTGACCTGCTTTCTTCTTTGTCTCTGGGTACTCTGTGATATTTCTTAATTTCATGGGGGGTGCATATCTTCACTAAATATAAACTACAGATCAGTGAAACTAATTAACAGTCTTGACATTTCTGGGCAGAAATCTTTCCCACTGGGTAAGCCTTAATTATTTAATAGAATAATTCATTTTGTCAAATAACTTAAAGTAGGACAATATTTAGTTGAAAAAGATTAATAGAGTAACAGAATATCTAAACACTACATCTATATGTGTATGTGTTAAAAAGTACCAATGATATATATATTTTTATTTGTAATTCTACTTTAATATTAGAATTGCAATCAGCAATTCATTTGGCATTTGAAGAAATATGGTTGATTCTGATCTGAAAAAATTAGGTTGATTATGATTAGAAATATCTAAAGAATTCAACATAAAATTATAAAAGAGCTCATATTGATATTTTGGAGGAAAACATTTGACTGTGTCTTTATTATGTAGGCCATAAATTTTTCAAGTTTCTAAAGTTGCTAGTCTGATGATGTAAACTATCTCAAGTAAATCTAATCCTCAGCGAGTTACTGAAGCAATTATAGATAAAGTAGTTTTCTTTATCATATATGGCCATTTCAAAGTATAATATTTACTGGTAAAATGCTGTAATATGAGACCATCTATCATGGATCAATTGCAATGGGAGACCCAAGTTAGAAAACAAATTAACTGTGTTAAGTCAAAAAAGGAAAAATAACATGGTTCTGGGCTTTTAAAAATTCAACATATAATACTAGCATAAAGGTGAACCCAAAATAAATGTTGAGTAGATAAAATAAATAAAGCAGGGAGGTCATAGTCCTAAGTAAGCTAAGGGCAATAGTTTTAGGACTTTGTATGCCCTTTGAAAGTCACACACAGATATTAATAACAAAATAATTATTTATATATTGATCAAAACCCAAAACTAACACTGATTTCCATAAACTTATAAAAAACAATATAAATGGCACTGCCAAAAAAAAGAATGTAAATATTAGTAACTAAATTGTAGTATACAGTTACCTCTTAAGAATTTTTTTTCTTGGAAAAAAAAATGATTTTCTTCACTAACCTTTGACAGAAATAACTGTTTGCCTTTAAAATTTTAAAATACTGCTTATAAAGTGATTATCTCATTTCACATGTTTATTTGCCTTGCAATATCACCCGATGAGGTAATCATGAGCTGCTGAAAGGCAGAACCCATCTTTTCTTCTCCACTGTCATGTAGCAATCAACAGTCACCTGAACAAAGTCCTTGGCTTTCAAAGCTAAGGTTTCAGCTTGTAGATGCCTTACGATATTATTCACTTTGGAGTCACCTGTGAAACCTGCTATGGTTCCCAAACCCTCTCCCTTATCTATTGAAACAGAATCACTGGGGAAATGTGCCGTCTAGGACTTCATATTAAGAGAACCTCTAAGGTGAGAGATTTACACACACTGTTCAGAATTATAATTTGTGTTTACATAAATTAACCAACATGATATGTTATGTTTTGCTATTACTTTGGCTATTATTTATTTATTTATTTATTTTTCTTTATTAGTGCTTTTTATTTTTTATGTATACAGTACAGTTACATTCATCATTGGGATCTTGTACCTTTACATGATGTATCTTGGTTCTTATTTTTTCCCCATACCGCTGCCCTCCCTTTACCCCCTCCACCCTTCCCTATTTACAAAGACTTTGTTTAATTTTTTCCTTTTCTCTTTCCTTCCTTTTTTTCCTTTTCCCTACCATTCCCACTTCCCCTACTCCTTTAGCCCTTTTTTCCCTATTTCACATTATCAATTATACAATTTGAACCTTATTTACACTTTTAGTTTTTCACACCAAAGAAACTGTTCAGTATTTACTCAAGTGTGTTCTATTTATTTCACTTAAGAGTATGGCTTCAATATACATTCATTTAGCTATAAATTCTAGTTTCTTGTTCTTCATGGCTGAGTAGTACTCCATTTTATAGAAAAAAACACATCTTCTTTATCCAGTCTCAGTTGATGGATGATTAGGCTGTTTCCAAGTTTTAGCTATTAAAAACTGTGCCACTCTAAACATGGGTGTGTATATATTGCTGTGGTTTGATTCCTTTAATTCTTTTCGAAAGATAACTGGCAGAGGGATAGCTGGGTCAAATGCAACCTCTAATCCTGGATCTTTGAGACACCTCCATATTGATTTCCACAGTGGTTGCACCAGTCTACCCTCCCACCAATAATGGAGAAGGGTTCGTTTCTCCTCACAACCCTGCCAGCATTTGTTATTGTTTAATTTTTTTTTCAGCTTTAATTGAATTTATTGGTACATTTTAGGGATACAGTACAGTTACATTCATTGTTGGGATTTTGTACCTCTACATGACAAGTCTTGATTTTCATTTTTTCCCCTTACCTCAGCAATTCTTTCTGGGGTTAAGTGGAATCTCATTGTTTTCATCTATATCTCTCAATGAACTTTGGCTACTTTCAAAAGTTTAAAATTAGATCAAAATATGAAACTTGCGAAAGTCTTTTAGCCTGGATCCCATAACATTAAAAAATTAATTGGATTTCTGTGCCCTATTTACTTGGTTTTAATTGTAAAATATGTTCCAAACTTGATCAAGATGTTGAAGATGAAGAAAGCTTTAGTATTTTTTCTTTTGAGACATTTGCTCAATGAAGTCATTTACTTATATATCAATGATGTTGTCTTCTATGATGTGGCTATAGCTATGCCGAAAGCCTCTGTTTCATACACAGGATGAAGATTTTGTTGAAATGGAGTTACTCAATTGTGTGTAATCCTTAGTATTAAGATTATATTACTTAAAAAAAAACAATAAAGATTATATTACTTTGGTTTCGTCTCTGTCACTAATTCTGACCCTTATAACAAATAGAGAGTAGATCACCAAATTATATGTTTACAGAAATCCCTAGATATGATGCCTTTTGTTCATACAGGTTCTGCTAATATGTCCAGAATAAATGGCAAAGAGCACACAGCAAATTATTTCTCATTGATCTATTCAGGCAGACAGTTACGTTTTATTTGTTAAGCTACAATGTCAAGTCCATGTTTTGAACATCATAAAGTGTGTAATTATAAAATTGTTTATATTTCAAAAGTTTAATTATTATTTTCTAGCCTCTCAGGTATTTGGAGAATTTAGTACTATAATATAATATCATTTCATGCCAAATAAGTGGCATGTTTTCATTCTTATCAGTCTGCACCTTCTTCCTTCCTTAATTTATTGGATTATTTCCCTTATTAACTCATATTTATTTAGCTATCAATGATGTTACTATTCCAGAAACTTATACTTTAAGATTCTTCATAATAGTAGATTAATCTGGTGTATGCATAAAAAAATTGTTTGT